TGTTGAGTAATAATTCATTTAAACTACAATATTGAAATGTATTTCCCGCACCCCTCAGAAGCAGTGCAAAGGCTTCGGAGAGCCAAGGGTAATGAAGGAGCTGAGGGAGAGGGAAGTAATTGCTGGGAAGGAGCTTGGAGTGAACTTTGGGAGTTGTTGGATGTGAGTGGGAGAAGTATGGACAAGGGGGATTTGGTGGGAGAGGGGAAGAGTGATTGATAGAGACTTGGGAATCCTCCCATATGGAACCCTGGCTCACCTTTGGCCTCTCCCACTGAGTCAGGCACATCTGCCCTCTGTCCCCATGTGTCCCTGCATCCCCCCCATCCCTGTGTGTCCCTGTCCCCCTTTCACTCCCATGTGTCCCTGCATCCCCACTCCTGGCCTCAATGTTGTCTCACTAGCTCCTGTGACTCCCCTCCCCCCCCAGGAGCCCTATATGCCCCATTTTGTCCATCTCCCCTGTTTTCCTTGCCTCCACATCTGACGCCAGGGCAGAGAACTGTGAAATATCCTCTGATCCCCTCCCTCTCTGGAAAAAAGAACAGGAGTACTTGTAACACCTTAGAGACTAACAAATTTATCTGAGCATAAGCTTTTGTGGGATACAGCCCACCTCTCTGGCTGGCTGCTCCAGCTGTAAGCCAGCTGCCCTCTCTTCCTGTGCCACAGCAGCCCCTAGAGGGGAAAAGGTGTAATTGCAGTGCTTGTCCATCAAAATCAATTACTCTAGGGTGAAAAATAATATGTGGAGCACATGAAGTTTGTGCTTGCGCAGGTGGTGCAGAATTCCTCCATGAGTATCGCATATGAAGTGACATCACTGACGTAATCATTGACGTGTAGGGAAAAATCAAGCTCTGGTACAGAGGTGCGTAGAGCTGTTAGTGTTCTTTCATCAACTGTTCTCTCCTGTTAGCCATGCCCATGGACCGCGCAAATGAGTCAAATCACTGTATGTGTCTCTGGTGAACTACTCTCCAAGGACCGAGCCATTCAGGAGTGGAAAGAGTCTTTCCATAGAGATTGTTGGAACTTCTAGATGGAAATTTCTGCTAGGGATGTAAATACCATTTTAAAAGTCAACCGTTTAACTGTTGAAGGGTGGCCAAAGGAGCACAGGACAGGGAGCCCATGGAAAGTAGCTTGTGGAGGTAGGTTACTGACTGGCGCTGAGTTCACTCTATGACTCCAGAGATCTGACACCAACTGGAATGGCACAAAGCGTTTTACACAGGGATACTGGAGTTTTCCAAAGTTTCAAGAGGCCTCTGGGATGGAATACATCCCTGTATCCAAACCCTACACACGACTATAATAGTCTTTGTACAAATTATGCCTTATAAGGTAGGTATCATTTGAAAACTAATAACTTACTGGCCAGTATTATCATAGTAAAATGTTTGCAGCAACTTTGTATAAAAAAATTATGAACATAAACTGAAATTGCAACTGAAGTGTGTTTACCAGACTCGTCTTGGGAGTGGGTAAAACTGTTTCTCAAAAACAAAGGAGAAGTTAACGTCTGTAGCCGAGCATGAAACCTCTTCCCCACTATGTTCGTGTCTCCCCCCTCAGCTGAGAACATTTCTAGGGGTCGCTTTGAGAAAATTCTGCTATTCAAAGAGTGATTGAACTATAAAAGAGAGGGGCAAAAACACCTCTTGTGATTTCTCCCTGTTCATCTCTTGTTATCACCTAAGAGGACCAACAAAAATAAAAAAGGGTTCCTTGGACCTCAGGAACTGATCCTGAACTGAAATCTTAGTCAGCAATGCTACTGGAAACCTGTGGTAAAGGCAGTGGTGAGCTGGAGCCGGTTTGCACCGGTTCACAAGAACCGGTTGATAAATTTAGAAGCCGGTGTAGAACCAATTATTAAAGGGGCGGGTGGATAGGCAAACTCCAGTCCACGGGCCATATCCGGCCCGCGGGACCGGCCTGTCCGGCCTGCCTGAGCTCCCAGCTGGGGAGGCTCCCCCAGCCCCTCCCCCACTTCCCCATCCCCCCTTGCAGAGCTCCAGCACACCGTGCCTCCAGCGCCACCACTCTGGGCAGCTCTGCAACTCCTGCCGCTTTGAGCGGCATGGTAAGGGGGTGAGGCTACGAGCTCCAGCAGGCCGCGCGGCACCCATACACGCTGCCCTGACCGGCGCTCCGGCTGGCCGGGGAGAG